GATTATTCCCTTCCATGCGATGTTTCGTTAAAATAACCCGACAAAGATGGTCGTGATAAACTTACATGTACATGTAACATACAGCGTTCAAGGCCGTAGAATATTCGATTACGAAATACACGAGCATTTTCTTTCATGAGGATAGTATCTAAGGCACGATTTTTCATTCTCCCTGTCGTCGTTTCGGACACCGTCGTGTCGCTAATCATCAAGGACACTTGCTTCAAGGCCCCCTGTACACTACATGACAATACAATGCGTAAACGAGAACAGATCTGTAACTTACAATTAGACAAAAAAAAAGGAAAGAAAGAAAATTTCACGATTAAAATTTCGTTGGAACTCGCTTGAAGTTCAGTCCCATCGCTGACTCCGCCCACCGGAAACGAATGGCGGGCGATTCGAAGAGTCGATTCGTTTCCCGTCCCGACTACGCTATCGGGATGTTCGGTTACGTCGCTGCCTGTCGCGCGACAAACAAAAGACGAGGGAACCTTCATCGTGGAATCGTTATGGGCGTGTTGGAATGTACTTCCGTCGAGGTATAGAAATTCCAGAATTTTCCAAGGGCATCCCCGCCCACGGACACGGTTCGTGTTACGAATGCGACGCCCTGGTTGGCTCCTTTTTAGCGGGCGACACGGTGGCCGCGTTGGTGATCTTGTAAGCGTTGCCCTTCACCTCGGCGGGGTGTTTGTGAGTGCTGGTCGATGATTTCCTGGGCGGCTTCGTGATTTGCGTGGTCGACAACCCGCTCACCGGATACTTGTTCCTGCTTGACGTACCACCGTTGCTGCTCCTCGCCGCGTTCTTCGTCGACGTCGAGGACGCCGCCTCGGTCGGGTGCTTCGGCATCACGAACGCCTTCGTCTGCTTCAGCAGGTATCGGTCGTTGCACAACGCCGATATCAATGGTAGGTCCAGGTTGCGGCTCTTCTCCCGCAGCGTCCGTATGTCCAGCATACCGTCCTCTTTCCCCTCTTCGTGTTCCTCCGTGGCAGTGGCGCTTGATTTCGGGGTTTTCTTCGGCGACGAAGACGAGGAAGAGGCCGATGGGAGCGGTTGGTTCTTCTCGAGATTCTGAAAAGACGCGGAGTGTGAATAACCGTTCTTCCTTTGATAGATTCTCGAAGACAGAAGAATCAGTGGAGAGGTTGATGGAACACGTTTCAAGATTCACAAAGATCTGGATAGAACTGGATTTTTTAACATGAACAATCCCAGGATCTAGACGTCCAGTTCGAAATTATTTTAGTAAATTCATCGTACCTGTATTTCGTAGGGTGGCGGCGGTGGAGGTGGCGGCAGCCTACGGTGCTTCAGCTGCGGCAACGACTGCAGCTTAATGCTGGAGGGCGAGTCGAAGCACTTCAAGATGTTCTCGTCGCTCCTGGTTCGTGAGAACGCGTGCAGCGTATGAGGATGAGCCGGCGCGGGCGGCTCGCGTCTGAGACTCTGGCTGCCCGCCGACGAGCAGGTGGCCCCGCTGTACAGCGAGCTGGTGCTGGCCGCGTAATGGCTGCTCAGGTTGTTGTGCGGCAGGTAGTTGTTAGAGCTGGTGTCGCTGCTGCTGAGATTCTGGTTCGAAGCGTATTTCGAGGGCGACGAGAACGAAGAACCGGGAAGGTACGGGGTGCTGCGGTACATCACCAGGGACTTGTTGTTGAACGAAGGATAAGGCGGCGGAGGGTACGCGGCCATCGCGGCGAGCAGCGAGCCCTGCTTCGCGTCGATGTACTCCTGCTTGGACACGGCCGGATCTTTCAGCGGGAACATCACGTAGTCGACGTCGGAGTAAAGCTGTTGCTTATACTGTTCGATTTGGGACCTAGCCACCTGGCTGGTGTAGACGGTGGCCAGGCTGGGCGGAGGCGGCGGTGGTTGTCTGGGATGAACCATGGGCGGCGGCGGCGGTGGCGGCGGTGGAGGAGGCGTCAAATAGGGCAACAGAACTGGACCGCCTCGCGAGGCGTGCACGTCCAGGTAGTTGTTCGGACCGACGACCAGAGCTGCGACTGGCGCGTGAACTGGGGTGGGTTTCATCTTGTCACCGGGATAAGTGGGCGGTTGAATCCTGGGCGGCGGTTTCGGCGCGATCGCGATCACATCGTTCACCGATTGGGCGACCTTCGACACCGCCAGGCCAACGTTCGCCTTGCTGTTCACGAGGCTGGTCTGGATCTTCGTGGACGTCACCCTCGACACGACTTCCTCGCTCACGGTCGGGTAGAGAGTGGAAATCGCTTCTTGCCGGGTGACCTCGGACACCTCGGGATACGGTGGGGGCGGCGGTGGTTCCCTCGGTATCACGGCGTCGTTTCTTGGAGGCGTCGGCGGTGGAATTTGAATCCTTTCCCTGGGCGAGGTGTAAGGTGGCGGCGGTGGTGGATCGGTCCTCCTAGGCGGTAGAGGCACGAACTCGCCTCGGGTCGCATTGTACGGCGGCGGAGGCGGTGGTTCCCTATCTATATCCGGGATCTTGGACCTGGACGTGTTCAAGGTCGCGTACTCCATGCTCACCGGGTAGGGAGGCGGCGGGGGTAGCTGTCTGTCGCTGTCCGTCCTGGGTGGCGGCGGCGGCGGAGGCATGGTAACGTAGTCGCAGTCGGAGTCCATCGAGTTGCTGATCGTCTTGCGAGGCGGGTAGCGTCCGACGATCAGGTCCGACAGTTCGTCGGCCGACAGCAAGGGTCCCACACTAGAGGGATCGCTACCGTCACCTCTAAAGCTACCCGCGCTCAGTATGCTATTGCTACGAGATCTGGAGTCCTCGAGCTGCTGGTCCAGAGTGACCGCGGTCATTGCGGACACCACGTTCGAGACGTCCTCGTCGCCTTTGCATACGCTGTAAATCGGTTCGTGATCCTCCGTGCCAACGTCCTCTGTGTAAACGTCGCTGGTCTCGGACCTGAGGCCGCTGTGGATGGTGTAGAAACCGGACGTGACCGAGGCCTCGTCGGTCGTCGATTGGACGGAGCTCAAGGCGCAGACGTCGCTTGCAGCGGAGGACTCGTTCGCGTCGCCCGTCGGCGAGTATAGATCCCCTATTCTCTCGTCCTGCATCTCGCTGCTCCTCAAGGTGTACACTCCGCTGGTTTCACTCGCTATGTCTGTACCTGAAATCATGACGGTTGCTGAGTTTCCCATCCAGGTACACAGCGGAGCTGCGATAGAAATTGCTGTTGATCGGAGCGACTTCTTTCTTTACGTTCATAGCGGAGCTGCTGAAAGTTGCCGAGGCAGAAGGATTGTAATTATCTTCAAACTACACGGAGTATATCGCGATACGCTGTGAATGCGAATCTTGCTGTATTGCAATTGCTGCACGCATTCGACTCTTACGGAACGAATTGCTTGTACAAACTGGATTAGGAAAGGAAAGCATGTGATCCTATGCTTCCCTCTCATCGCAGCTCTGCTGTAAACGTACCCTTAGACAACGATCGTTCGCGGGAAGTTAACGTCAGGGGAATTTACTCGATACCAAGATTCTCGTGAGAATGTATACCGTGTCGTGCATGGAAAACCAAATCTCACCTGCGTACTTGCCGCCCTTCTTGCACCTGTCGTAAATGGCGCCAGGAAAGCTAGCGGTTTCCGATGAAACCGCTGAATTCTGTGCCGTATGAGAGTAGCCCAGCTCTAGACTGGACGTTGCCGAAGTGCGCCGCATACGCGGCGGTCCACCGGCAGGTGCATTCACGACCACGACCGTGCTGCAGCTGCTGCTACATTGGGATCCCTCAGCCGCTGTCGCCGCGCTCGACGCTAATCTCAATGTAGCAGTCGTGGGTGTGCTGTCCGCGCCGTCTACTTCTGAAAATTATACCCGTGTTTTCTTTTTGCAACATTTCGAATTCACCCCCTGAAATCACTTTCTTCGTGATTCCACGTGAACTGATTACAGCAGGGTCATCGGCTAGCCCGTTTATCATGAATCTCTGTAACGTCTTTCTTCCATTTTAATATTCGTACACGCGTTCCCAGTGGAATTATTATAATATTGAATTGATGATAGTGATACAAAGATTATTAACCCTTTGCACTTCAAGCTTTTTCTCGCTGACATCGGCGGTAACTCAAAATAATTTCAATCGAAAAAGAGATAGATCATACATGTATTTTATTGTATCTTTTATCAGTTATAGATGTAAATGCTTTAATATATTTAATGGCAACATTGTACAGTTTGTAATTTGAGTTATATACAAATGATAACTTCCAATAATATCGATCGATAAACCCCGCGCGTCCAGCTGTTCCAAATTTGAAATTATAATCGCGATAATAATGTCACGTACTTCGCATAAACGGGTGGATTTAATAATTTCGAGTACCATCATTCAGCGATACATCCTCATTGTATTCAAATAACGAATGTTCACGATCAGTCAAATCATTGTTAAAAAAAATAGTAGAATAAGATGTTCCAGAAGCGTGTCGCGATAGGGACGATTAGGGTACGTTCACAGCGAAGTTACGATAGAAGCTAAAAGAGTTACGTTCTAGCTAAGAGAATTCTTTTTCCGGTGCGTTTATAGTGGAGCTGCTGAATCCGAAGGAGAATTATCATTACCATCACGCCTCGCGAAGTGCTGTACGAAAAAGCTACGCGAACGTAAATGTTACGCATTACATCCGCATCGTTGGTCAATCACTGAACACATCTCTGCGTCGTCTCAACGTGAACGCTCCCGTCACGACACGAATCCACCTACTTCTACGCTTTAGTTCCAGCTCTGATCGAGTATCGCAGCTCTGCCGTAAACGTACCCTTCCCTGCCCACGTTGGAGCACGTGTCATGCGTCTCGGAGAAGAAAGCTAACGACGGGAATTCGGGCCTGATCGATTAGTTTCCACCTGTTCCTGTCTCATCGTCAATGCCGACAGTTACAACTAATCTAACCTATAAACGAAACACCTGGTGAAAGACTCCTCTTGCCCCTATGCCGTCCCGCTAGCATTCTCGTCCAAGATGCATACTACAGACGACGGTTTTCAGCCTCCCTCGCTTCTCGATGCATTGCGACATCTGTCACGAGACCTCGGAAGACCGAAACCCGTCGCTTTTAGCTTGTAGCCGGTAGCAATTTCCGTGTACATGAAGAACAATCGAACGGCCGTGCTTACCGTCCACGGTGGAAACCGGCGACGACGGCAGCGAACGGTCCTCAACGTCCGCGTTGGCACCGTTTACGACACCGCACTGGACAGCTGCGTGCGAAGTGGTTTCGGTGAGGCGCGGCAGACACTCGGTCGAAGCGGGCGCCGTGTCCGGCTCGTCCTCGCTGTGCACCCGGTCGCTGACAATCCCAGAAGTTGTGTTGGACGACGTGCTCGAGATAACAGAGATTCGTTGGTCGCCGCGTGCACCGCGCGCCGTCAAGCTTAGCTTGCAGCGAGCGGGGTACATGTAGCAGTCCCGGAGCACCTTCCTCTCTGAAATCGAACGACAATGCGCACGTGAAAGGTTGAGAAGTGGCCGGAAAGAAGTACGAAACGCTCGTTTGTCGGAATTGAACCTATGAATCTTGAAACAATAGAAGAAGGTCGATCGATGTTTCGGGAGAATCTATCTTTCTTTTCATCTTCGTTTATTATCTATTTCGTTGATCTTCGATCGATTGACACGTTGAATGCAAAATGGAGAAAGTGTAATATTGAATCGTTCGGTTGAATTGCATTATTAATATTGCACTTGATTTAGTTGAATATCACTGCATTAGGTAGCATTATTTACAATATAAAAATGTTTTCAAACAATCATCGTTTAATTGAGCGAATTATAGCATCTCGACTCGGTTGAAGGTCACCGGTGACCCCCATAGCATTCAACGTGTTAAATAGGCCTGACTAAGCTGAAAACGGTTACATCGGTACCCCGCGTGGATAACATTAAAAAGTGGAGTGTTCGGAATTCACGACTTCAATGTCTTCTTCGGAATGTAGCGGTAAAAGTACTTCTCCGTCGATGCTGACGAATCGATGCTTTCAAAGCGGTCCAACCAGTGGGATTCCAGAAGGGAACGAAAAGAGAAGTTTGACAGATCCGCGGACTGGAGTTGGCAATTCTGATTCACAGGGGGAAATAACTCTCACCTTCCTCTTCGCGCCTCTTCGCCTCGTTTACTCTGGGCGCTATGGCCATGGAGAACTGATGAGTGTCCCGGCAGAGGCCAAGCAGGAGCTTGCTTTTGTCATCGCATCCGCTGTAGAGAGTGAGCTTGTCCGGCTGATCGACGGCGCGTATCTCGAACTTCTTGCGCTGCGTTATAGAAATTCATCGAATCAACGGGGATTTGAATTACACGCGAGAGTAGAAAACTGGAGGGATGCTCTCTCCCAAGATTATTCTTATCGAACAGTGTACCTGAAGGTTCAACCCACTTGCTCATCAACGTGTACACCCTCTTAGTCTAGATTGTTAATGAATAGCCAATCAATATTACCGTTCTATTATTACATTATTCTCAATATTTGCTACACTATTATAATATCATGCTACAACCTGCGTAGATTAATTACTTTGCACAGTTTTATATAGTTTCATCATTTTATGTAACGTTTCTATATCCTTACAGAGATTTCCCTTGTTCCCTATAGATTTACGTCTACACGTTAACCACTCAAGCACAATAAGAAAGGAAAGAATTTAACACTAATATATTTCTCTTTCATGCACAGCAAATGGGTCAATACGTTCGCTACCGGCGCTTATTTCGCTTTGGTCTCCTCAATTATATTTTCTTCAGTCCAATAAATCTAAACAAAATATTTGAAAAATGAAACTGAAACGAGTCATTGGGTTCCTAAATATAACGTAGTTTGTAATTTCTAATAACAATTTTCATAGGGTTAACTTCATTTTCATTGTGTAAGATATAGTGTAGGGTATGCGAGAGATTAAAGTGTGAATGAAGAATATTTATAACCAAGTGACAGGAGTGTAGGGCATGCGAGAGATCAGGGTGCAAATGAAAAGTGTTTATGACCGAGCGATAGGGATCGGGTGACTGAGGAGAATGTTTAGGACCGAGTGAGAGAGCTTGAGAGATCGAGCTACGAATGACGAGTGTTTTGGGATCGAACGTTAACCCTTAGCACTCCAGATGGTTTTGTAATCTATCAGCAACTGCAACTAATTTTTATGGTATCCCTAGCGAAAATGAAAAATGCTATAACATTTCTTAGATCTTTTATTTTCCTTCTTGGTGCAAAATTTGGATGTGTGAAAAATCGAATAATCGTAGGGTAGTTTCTTTAAGATTCATTAAAATATCTAATATTATTCCTGGTGTAATATTGGGGCCTACAGAGTTCAAAGGGTTAACGATCTTGTGTTTGACGAGTATACTCGTCATGGAGAAGTTGTAGGATTTTGTGTCATGACGAGAATACTCGTCATGGTAAAAAGTAGTGACCATTGGCTTTTCACAGAAATTACAATTTAAATAGCCAATGGTCACTACCTTTAACCATCACGAGTATACTCGTCATGACACAAAATCCTGCAACTTCTCCATAACGTCAAACACAGTTAACTGGTTAAGGACTGCGTGAGCGAGAGGGTGGGTGCAAGAGAAAGATAGAATAATTGGGAATGAAATAAGATGCGTGAAGGCAGCAAGGAGGGGCAGTCGAAGACGAGCGTTGGAGGAGTCAAGGGTATTAATCCTTTGCGAACGAATGTCGACATTTCGGTGAGATGAAGTTTTCATGTTTCGAAGATTAAGTCATAAACAAATAATTTAATTACTGAAACACCAAGAGATCAGGACGTAGTTTTTGTTTTTCCTATGACTTAAGTAATTCATATATAATTTAGCTTCATCTGCTGAATATTTTGTATATTTCAAAGAATCTTCGTCCGCAAACGGTTAAAAGTGTATTAAAACCCAGAGAGTATTGCTCATTACACCTCTTCTACACAGCGTACACATTGAAAATCCTACGATAGGATTACGGCCGTCACAAATACGTGTCGCTGGCAGCGAACGTAACGAACTAACGAAGAGACCTTCTCCAACTGATGGAAGACGAGAGGCAATAGGGTACTAACGTCGAAGCAGAGTTTGCCAATGTTGTTCCAGGCGAAGACACGCGGCGTCTCCTCCTCGGCGTATACTCGCACTCCGCGAGCGCATATCGCGAGGAGTATGCGACCTGGTCCGGCCTCGTTCTTGCTTCTCCTGAGCCGATAGAGGTGAGCGTTGAGCGGCGCCTCCAGCAGCACCGCCTCCCGGATGTACTGCAGCTCAGCCTCCTCCCTGGACAGGCCCTGGTTGTCCCTGTGCTGGGCCGCGAGCACGGCGAGCACATTCGACTCGAGGCACATCTGTACCCGTGCAACACAAGGATCATCGATTACATTTAACCCCTTAACCCCTTGCTACTACGTCGAGTCTCACTCGGCATTTTTAACCGTTCGAGTACCAGAGGTTTTTAGAAAAACACGGTCGAAAAAAGCCGAACATAGCGCTCCTTTTATTGTGTCGAGAACAGACAAGCAGCGCGACAGCGCTTGATCTATGTTAAACCTTTGTACTCGAGAATATTTGTCGCGATAAATATTCCTCATTTCCTGAGGAAATATCAATGGTATTATTTACAATTAATATAATGAAATACCTTGCATAAATCGAGCGACGAAACTATTTTATTTCGATGTTCCATGTGCTGGTAGATTATAGAAACTTTAATATTGAATTTCAAATTTTATAATTTCGTTGAGTTAAACCAGATGACGAATAAAAGGCGTTTCTCGAGTGCAGAGGGTTGATACTATTATGTACATATGTTAACACGTTCCGCGCCGCGTGGGGCGTACGAGCCCCACGCTGTACTCTCCGTTCAAGCCATTGGGTATTGTCATTGTAAAATGAAGAATTTATTAAAAATGTATTACGCAGTCAATTATGGGCATCTTAATACTATTGCCGCGGCGTTATTTGATCGTGGGGCGTATACGTCCCACGCGGCGTGGTAGTCATTTTTTTACTGCGATTTGTTTTAACGTTAAACAATTCGGTTCCCAATCGGCAAGAAACTGTACTGTAAAAGTTGCAACATTCTGTAATAGTTGTGTTGGATAAACCACATTTATGTTTGCCATGTTTCAAAAAAGTTCACCGTAACATCCCTTCCTGAGATTATATACAAACTTGTTACATAAATATAATATTAAATATATTTCAACTGAAATGTTTTATTTGAAACTAATATAGACATCATACAAAAATATTATGTGCGAGGATGCGACTCGCTCGGTAATGTTCAGCCAGGTATTTGTTAAACTAATTCCTAGAAAAATAAATTTATTGCTTTGTTGTGTTATGCATCTTAAGCTACACACCCTTCCCTTGATAGTTATGATTTTTGCATTATTTTAATCATCGTAAGGTATACTCCAGAAACAAGACAATACAATTTCCGGCTCGAACGGAAAGTCTTCAAAAAACGGTCTGGCACGGAACGTGTAAAGGAACACCAAGTATTCCTGAAGCTTTTCTTTACTTTTATATTCTACTTCGTATTATCTGGTAAAAAAATTGAGCACCGCAGGAACGATTTCCGCAATTTAATTCGACAGTTAAGGGGTTAATCGCGCGAAGTCGCGTCGCGTTGCCTCAACTGTAAACTTCTCCTTAACGGGCTCCGCTTATGCAACACGCTGCGGACTGTCCCTAGCTACCGGCGGAACTTTACGATCAAAGCAGCACCACCAACGGGAATAGGTCTACATTCCGCGGGACTGAATATCTCGGGACACCGAGGCGACAACCGTGATTTACAGTCTATAGGGAGGATATCCGGGCGCAGGATTTTTGCGTTCAACAGACTGCTCGAACCGATCGCGTGGCCGGTCCCTGGTACTGCTAGATCACTCGATGACTAGACTGAAGGGTTCCGACCGATCAAAGTCTCCACCTTTTCACATTCAGCTTCCTGTTGGTTTTATTTCCTAATTCTTGGCACTTTCGCTAATTTACTATTCGTCAGTACGGTTATACGTAACCAATGATAACTATAAAACTGTAAATTGAAAGGACATCGAGTCATCTGCCAGTACGCATTGCAGCGACCGTGCTTTCGTTCCAGCGCAGAATACGTTTTTCCATTGTTACATGAAAAGATTCTAAACTCGACCGCTATATTTCTCGATTCCTAAGCAGGCAATAAGAAAATAAAAATGAAGAATCGAAAGGAGAACACATAAATAAACTGAACTTCTTTCACTCGCAGTGTAACGGAGAAACGCGATCGCGCCGTTTTCCAGTAATTCATTTCATTCGTTAAAGTACCACGCTTCGATAGGGAGGACGTTTTTCTTTTCCCGTTTGATTAACGATTGAATGAGTCTATCCGGTTATCGTGATGCCAGGTACCGAGGGAACGTATGGTTTCCTTGTAGTTTTTAAATATTAGATGTTTCTCAACGTTTCGCCCGCACGGGTCGGCCATGATCGATAGACTGGCGTCACGCGAACGTGATTTATCCGGAACAAGATCGAAGGAGAATACTTAAACACTGCGCCCCGATGAACTGATATGCAACGGAACGTAATCTCCCAAGCGCCACCTTCCCACGATAAGTTTTATCTCTCTCGATCATTACTACCGTCTTATCGCGTCAATCGTTGATCGCTTCTCAAGCTTGGATTCAGCGAGAAGTTGGCCGAAAAATAAAGCTCGATTCATTAATAATTCAGATACACATTAACCCTTAACTCCTTGCCCTATCGTGTCAGACTCGCGGTGAAGATTTCAAACAGAATTTGACAGACATAAATATTATTCAGTTTGTTCGAGGGCAAATTGCATAATATTCCTCTATTATCAATGATTATACCTTAGAGCGTTGACATAGACTAAAACTGGAGTTTTAGTTTCAATAAATCATCAATAACGAAGATCGATCCCAGTTCAGGAAGAAATCATAGGGCAAGGGGTTAATTTAACTCAAATTATTCCTGAACCCCCTATTCTTGTTTCGCCGCTACGTTATCTTTGTCTCCTTTTTTCTATACTTCCGCGTGACAATAGTGTATCTTATCTTATCGCAGGCTCTTGTCAATGAATGAATAGAAGAATAGATAGAGAAGTACACTTAGATGGGTACAAATCCGTTTGCCGGATATCCCCGACGGTGGTCGCCATTTATGACGTGCGTAAAGGCCCCCGTACACGTTCAAACTTGCAGGCATCGCGACAAGCGATGGGTTTGAGTCTTACAAAGCTTCACGATAGGTGTTGCACGCGAAGAAAAAGTGGAAAAGACTGAAACCCATCGCACGTCGCGACGCCTGCACGGGGTCCTTTACACTGGCGCGGCCATAGTGTTCGGTATTAAATTAAGGACTTACGTGAGGCGGAAGGTAATCCGTGGGTTTGCAATATCCGACAGATCCTGCGTGTGGCCTGTGCCGTTCCTCGGAGTAGTCCCCGAGATCGGCTTGTAGGGCAAGGCCCGCGAGCGTGAGCAGAGGCGTAACGATCGACGGTTCGTGCAGGGGATGGTGCGGGTGGAGGCTCTCCACCCCGCCGCCATGCCGGACGACATTGTCCCGGAGCTGCAGGTAATAGTGGTGACGCGTCGTCTCATCGCTGAAACAATCGGGACCGTTACATCGTCTCGTTCTCTCGATTCATCGCAAGCGACGCTGTCTTTCCCCGCGAGAGGAAATCTTCCGTGCTTTTTTATTTTCGCACGGCCGCCACGTTAGGTCTCGCGTGTTCCAGTCCACAAATATTCAAGGAGAAAGGAATGCTGGAGATTCCTGACACGCGAGGAAAAGTGTCTATCGAACGTGTTAACCAGGCGTCGTTCGATCTTCAATGAAACGAAAGATCGATCGGTTCTTAACGCTGGAACTACCGAGCAGTTAAACTGATTTTACGAGATTCCTCTATAGAAACTTCGAGAGTGTATCTATTGGGACTTTAATTGGCTTAGAATTCAGTTCCCGCGTTGCTGAATCGATTTCCTTAATGATTTCTCAGAGGAACGTCTGGTTTTTGAATAAATCTACTCGTCCGGTAGCTTTAGTGTTAATGAACATTTTTATGGACATTTTGATTCGTGGAGCTTTTCTAATCAATATCGCAGTAAAAGAAGATAGGGAGATTTGGAATGGGTATAGAGTCCATTGTTCGAGAATTAATTGCAATCATTGTTTAGCGTCCTTTGACCGGAAAGTCGTGGTTTGTTCGCCACGCTTTGAATGTCTCTTTTTTCTAGAATACGCGAATGGATAGCTTCGGGTGCTTACCGAAGAGGAATTAGGTATATTGGAAAGAGACGAACGCAAGAGGAGGTCACGAGCACACCGGAGATGACTTACGGAGTAACAGATTTCAGTGAGCCGAGCGTGCTCCGATGGGCCCCGCTTCGAAAGGCGCACTGTCATGCAACTTACGCGTAATGATATACGCGTACCTGTCGAGGCCACGGGAATTTGAAAAAGTCACGTTTGCTACAGTTCGCGTAACGCACCGCGCATAGTGATGGAAACCAGCCCCATAAATCTACGGAACAACACGCGGGGATTACGAAAGCACGCGCCGGGAACGGATTCCTGCGTGCTCCGAGCTTCATCGTGCGGGTTTATTTGGAAATATTCAAATACTCGTCCAAATGAAACAGATTTCCTTTAAAATTTTAACGAACGCGTGTCCACTGAAATTACGTTTACCGTCAAACTGTTCAATGGAACGATTCCACGTATATTATTCGTCGTTCGCTAACACTGAGATCGATACGCTTGTAAAAACGGTCTCATTTATTTATTCGCGCTCGGTGTTCCTCTATTCAAAATTTTACTTACAAAGACTACCTTCGGAAGACTTAATTAACCCTTTTCGGACGCAGGTTCTTTAACCCTTTGCGGACGAAGATTCTTCAAAACATACAAACCTTCAACATATGAAGCTGAATTATATATCGATTGCTTAATTAATAGAAAGAAAGACTAAACTACGTGGTGATCTCTTACTATTCGACTAATTAGATCATTTTTCCACGATTTCCACGAAATCTGAACATTTCACCTCACCGAAATGCCGACATCCGTCCGCAAAGGGTTAAAGTATACAAAACCTACGGATTCTGCCAAGTTACACTTCGAATGGTTAAATAATAGAGTAATAATAGAAATAATAGTATTTCAAAAATGAAAATTTGATGTCGGCAAAATGTTGACGTTCGTCCGCAAAGGGTTAAATTGAAACTTTCATTATAAGAACCACTTTTCTACGTTTACATTCCCGATTTCTGACCTCTCGTAGCCCAAATTTTATTACGCCTCACAGCGCGTTCCATTTACTTCATCGATGAACTGCGATTCCATCAACGTCGTTCGATTGAAAATATTAACGAAAAATACTGTGGGGTTTTTCCAGATGAGCAAAAGTTAGAATGAGTCAGAGCGGATGCTGTAAATCACTGAACGGATGAGGACGTACGCCTGCAGAACGGTTTGGAAAAACGTGTAGCGTGAATGAAGAGCGTTTGGGACAGAGTGGACGTTTCCGGGTGACCTGGGTTGAGTGCCTAGGAATTTTGCGTGGTTAAGGGTAACGAATAAGTGAGTGAGTGAGCGACCGAGTGTAAAAAGGGATGGAAGAAAAGGGAAAGACAACGAGGACGGAGGACAGGGAAAACGCGGGACAGTTGGCGAGTAACCCCGAGCGAGTGAGCGAGCGGTGTGTTTTCTTTTTTAGCGAGTCAGCGAGTTATATCGAAATACAGTGTTCTTCAAATTTTTGTTATTGTTACCAAGTGAGTGTATCTTTTCTTTTTTTATTCCCTACCACGGCAACACGTGGGATTTTTAACCCTTTGCACTTGAGGGGCGCCTTACAGTCTGACTCGACACAGCAAACTTACAAAATTTTCAATTCAATATCAAACCTTGTGTAACGTATCAACGCATAAAACATCAAAGTAAAATAGTTCTGTCTCTTAATTTATAGAAGACCATCAATTGTGTTAGTTGCGAGAAATATCGGTAGTATTCAGTCAGAAAGTAAGGAATATTTTTAATGAAGAATATTGTCGAGTGCAAAGGGTTAATAAATAAATCCTACAATACCTTTCGAATCGCGCGAGGATCGTTCAGCGAACGGTACTCGCGACGCGGGCCCCATTCGTGATTCCCGACGTCACCGGGGCTCCGTACGATCTCGTTGTTCGATTTGATTTTATTACTTCGACCGTGATCGGCGAAATATCCGCGTCAAAACGGAAGCAGGGAAATGAGGCGTTCGACGACGGATCGAGGCGAGGCGTTCTGCGGTTGGCCAGCCGCGGGTTCTTTCACGAATTAAACCCTCGTCGACGTGGACGTGCGGCGAATGCGGCGGGCCAGCCGGCCAGGCCCGATGTAAATCACGGGTTTCGGGTGGAAATCAGAAAGCAACTACGGATCAGTATAATTACCGGGACGAGTGCTTTCATTTAATGCGCACGGTCTATCTATCACGCGCCACGTAATAATTTATAATTACAAGAGTAGGTAGCACTTAGCTACCGGACAGGAGTCGAGAATTTCGTTTCGTTCGAAGGTAGATGATCCACCCATCGCTTGTCCCTCGCCTCGCCCGTCACCTCTCTCGGATATCTCCCTGCTGGCCGACCGTTCGAATCGTCTCTCCCTTTTGCCGTCAATTTCATCGGTGTCTCCCGTGCACGCAACCTTATCGCGTGTTCTTAACCTTTTAACACTAAACCGTCGAGCAGTCGGATCGACTTATTTGTGATTCCTCATAGAAATTACGGGAATGCGGGATTTAAACGAATTTTATCGGCACCGCGCGTATCATTGAATTTACCGGAGTAGTTCTTAAGTATCTTTACGGTTCTAATAATTGTACAGATGAAAATTGAAATGGGTCGTAAACCTTGTACAATGATGCGCTTTAATATTCCACGGTTTTGCAACGTTACGGTGTAATGAAACGCAGGCGTTATTTATTGAACACGAAGGTTTTGAGAAATATTTATCAGTTTATGTAGAAAGTTTGAATGTCTGTAATGAATTCAGTTTGTCATTTGTAGCGTTATATTGGAGATGTTAAGAGTGAATGTTGTGAACAGCTCTAGGAAAAATTGAAACGCGAGGTTATTGAAGTGTAATCGAACGTTGTTTATTCTGAACTAAGTAGGCTGAAGGTCCGGATGACTGTGCAGAAATATCATTGCGTTCGGTGATTCTTGCAATTATCTAGATCAAGAAATTCTTTTGAATTCTCGCTAGAAAATTGAGAAATTCCGTGATTGCAACGCGACTAGGAGGAAAAGTCGAGATCGAACGAGCTCCTCTGGTTCGGCGATTTGATATTCGAATGCGGAACGCTAATTACCCCGATTAATTGTGCAATCCATTTGGCCGGCCGTCCGATGGCCGGTCCGTCCTCGGTTAATTTAGTTTCCCGCCGCGGAGCCAGCCTCTTTCCGAGCGAATAATTTGTCAATTTGTCAGTCGCCGGGACCGGGACGGCTACCGGAGTTTTTTGCCCGTTCTCCCGCGAGACTCGATCGCGAATTTCCTTCGATTCTATCGTACGTTCGCTCGTACTTAAGCTTCGCGCGTGATTCATTTCTGCATCACCACCGGAATTCTTTTATGCGAACGGAATGAAGAAATTACTCGTAAGATGGCAGGTTGTTGATAATTCGGGTAAATACATATACTATTAGACTATAGATATTTATATAAATTCGAACTTCTAGTAACGTAATTAGTAAAATTCAATTACGATGAATAATGATTTCTCTAAGAAAGATTATAGAAGCCACTGTACTTCGGAGATTTTTCATATTCATTCGCATGCAAATGCAGATAAATTTGCAGTCTATGAATTCATCATTAATCGAGGCAGTAAAATTATCGAAAAATGCGAAGGAACAAGTAGACTGGACTGACATAATATCGGATTGCGCACTGAGAGAATAATACCGATTTTCGATTGGGTACGCATAAGATCAGTTTTGATTAATGGTTGACCGTTGCGTGTCGTGCACGGAAGTATAATAAACCTGACCCTGTTACATCACGATTTCTTAAGGAAAACGGTAACCCGGTACACTCGGAGATTATCGTTGCAAACGTCAAGTGAAAAATCCAGAACGGTGAGTGCTCACCTTAAGAGCAACGGCGTGTCCACGTAGTATCGAACGCGAAAGTAGAGGACGAAGGCTGGACGTCCGCTGCTGTCTAAGCCCTGAAAGTTACAAGATAATCACAGATTAATTAACGCAATTAATAATCGATAGGAGAAGATTAATAACGTATTTGGATCATGTCATAGGTCGAAACGAAAGGAACTCGCGTTCCATTGAACTTTCGTTCAATTCGAATTCTGCTTTGAGCAGTTGAAGCTTACAATTGATTAGTAACTGAATTTATTACAAAATTATCGATAATTTCAATTCGAGAAAGATAATTTGAGGACTTTTACGAGATTCGACAAATGACAATTACGAATAATATTCGAGTGCATCGCGTTCCATGAGTCCCGCAGTGGCGAACGAGCGCTTCAACGATCTATTTGCGTCTATTAGCGACGTCTACGGTAGCGATAACAATGATTTGCCATGATAATCGAAATGTTTCGTGAACTACAATAAGTAACGCGACTCGATCGGTCTCATTATTCTCGTCGAATCGATAATACTCGACGTCGCTATTGTGGCGGGTGTGCAAACACGACTATGGTTGTTCGAACACGGTTCTTCAAAACACTGTCGGCGAATTGAAATCAAAGCGTCGGCTTTCTTTCTCATTTAAATTTACAATGAAAATTCAGGGAAGAGTATCGTAGTTCAACGTGCGGACAACGATAGGTTTTCAAAACTTATTTTCTTAACGCGATGCCACCCCGTGAATCACGATTTGAGAAATACTCCGATCGATAGCACGATGCTTCGTTTGTAATTCATTCTTCACGTCGTGACGTCAGACGTATATCGTATAAAATGTATTTTCGACATAGAACGAATGCTTGTCGAATATATCAGAAGTAACTTCATTGGCAAACTATTTTATGATAAGTGATAGAAGCAATTAGCGTAACAGCTGCAGAAGTAAATCTTAACACATTGAGCGCGATAATGCAGGATCTTTAGTCTATCGTTTAATTGCTAGCCCTACATTAATGTAACATTTTATATTAATATGATATGTAATATCATATGTATGTTTTATATTAATAATATATGATACGTACAACACAAATCCAAAGTAAAATTACAAAATCGAATTCCTTATTCTCTTTTGTAAATTAGAAATTTCGGTTTGATTGATGTTCAGAAATGTATCAATATAATCACCGACGCTTGAGTTTCTAGTAGCTGAAATTTAGCCGGCGTACAATGTGTTTAGCACGAAGATGGTAACATAATCGCACTACTAACCGGAAGTTTCAATAACGGAAACGATCTTAAAATACTTAAAATGAAAATCTGACTTACGATCTTCGGCTTATGAATCTTTCACGCGTCAAGCACGTATTGGTTGTATCAGACACATGTAAGATATACATTGAATATATAAATACAACGTACATGTACATAAACCAGTTATCTCAAGTATAAATCTAAATCAGTAATCTACATAGTACGCATCCAATAAATTTTCGAGTGTCGGTATTTCAGTCGTCGATTACAGGAATGCAGACCCGATCGATCGGTTTTCATCTTTTCTCGTCTCATCCGCGATACTAACTTCCTATTCGTCGATATCGTTGCAACCAGTCGAAACTATAAACATTGTACGATCCCTAAAGGCATCGGAATCATCTCCCAACGACGCGCATCAACTAAATCGCAACGTAGTTCGGGCAGAACGAGAAGGCGAAGGCGCAGGCGACTTCTTTTCATTCACGGATTGAATATCTCCGGTATTTTAAGGCGAACCCTTGCGGATAAAAAAGGATTAACGATTCGTCCGTGCCGCGGAGCCAGGTGTATAAATCATCGCGAGGTTTGGATCAGCTCTCTGTCCCGGAGCGATCCACGGAACGGCCGACTTCGGCGGCCAAGCTACCGCGACGAAAGAAAAACCCGCAAACGTGGGCGAAACCACCAAACCGTGAATACGCCCATGCGCGTTCCGGCCCACGCGCCCTCAAGCACGGTAGCTACACGCGTTCCATCGAGAATCGGGACTAAATCCTCGTGGATCTCTCTTTCTTCCTCTTTCTTCCTCTTTCTTCCTCTGTCT